TGAAAATTTGGAATGTTCTAAGGATTTTAAACAATTTAAAGTAGATATAAATTTTCAAATGCAGATTTCAGCTGAAAAGTTTATTTACTTACTAAACAATAACTGCTTTTAAGTTATAGTTACCTGTTAATCGTTGAATGTTACTTAAAGAAGAGACGAGCATCTCCAAATAAGCACTGTTGCCCACCCAAATACCTTAAAGGACCCTAGATGTTAACCCAACGATCTTCTTGGTCACGGGATATTTTGACTTTCGGTGCCAACTTAAAAAATTAAATTTGTGGAAGACGTAATTGATATTTTTTTTCTGCAGCTTTTCATGAACTCGTTCTTAAACGTTTATGGTTTAAGCACAAGACTCATTTTCTTATTGATTTAGCTAGAAATCTTAAAGAAAATCAATAGCTGCCAAAATTTACAAAACAAATAAAATATAAAATAATGCAAAAAATGCATTTCATTTCACACGAGACTTATCCTGAGTAGCAATAATAAATATTTTTTAAGATACAAAAAAAATCTTGTTTAGTAATTTTCTCTCTCTCTCTCTCACACACACACACACACACACACACACACACACACGCACACACACACACACGCACACAGAATAAAGCACTACCAATGCGAAAATATCTATCTACTTAATAACCATATACTTTTTTTTAAGCATTTTACCCCGAGCAAGGCGTGAGTGCCACTAGCATGCAAAGTGTTACATAGAATGGGGGCAAGAGTAAAGAGGCGTAATAGAGGAAAGGATGAAGAGAAGGACGGGGAATAGATAAAGGCATCTGGAGATGTCGATTGACATTGCATTTAAATATTTGGAGATTATAGCTATCAGGGAAGCAAGTGAAAAGAAGGGAGCTCCACAGACGAGAAGTGCGAAACATGAAGCTATTGGAATAAAAGAGACGGCTACGTTTAACAGTTTCGACAGTGAAAGGTTGGGACTGAGATGTCGACCTAGTAGCACGTTTAAATTCATGTAGTCTGGGAACCAGCGAAAGTAGCCCGTCGGAGCAGTTACTGTGAAAGTATTTGTCGAGGAAAAGCGACGGCACTTCTGTGAGAAAAGGGCTGTAGACGAGATGCCAGATCAGGGCCAAACTGATCAAACGATCGATCCAGTTGATAATATGACGGTATTCAGAAATTAATTACGTTTTCGCATACATGCATACATACATATTGAAGAATGGCAGTGTAATGGATAACGGCTTGGATTGAGGAATGAGAGAGCTGAGTTCGAATTCCAGTCGAGTTCACTTACATTCGCTTGGAAAAGATACGAATCCATCTCTTCTCCCCCAGCTGTTTAGATGGGCAAATAGCAGTACATAGCCTTGAGTGATTTAGGAGAAGGCTAACTCTGAATTCAAAACCTGAGGAATGTTGTTTGAGGACTTTCGTGTCACACTTTGCACAAGTTCTCTAAAAAGTATGGTTAGTTCGGCACAAGCTTTCACCTCTATATTAAATCATATGTCCGAATAGTCTGTTTAGTTCTAAGAACTAAGCTGCCGGACCCTCATACGTCGAGAAACGACGAGAGAGTCCTCCTCCTCGTCCTCCTCGTCCTCGTCCTCCTCGTCCTCGTCCTCCTCCTCGTCCTCCGTCGTCTCTCTCTCTCTCTCTCTCTCTCTCTCTCTCTCTCTCTCTCTATATATATATATATATATATATATATATATATAAACTGCTGAGGATATATATATATATATATATATATATATATATATATATATATATATATATACCTCACTGCAGTTTTTATGTAGATACTATCTGCCACAAGGTACCAGGCAGATAGTATATATATCAAATCTGAAAAGTTTAGTTTGCCCTACTATTTAACCCATAGAGGGGAAAAGAAATGAATTGAAACCTTTCATAATGGCATTTGCGAAAAGCGAATGTAGCGAAATCAACTTCTTTCAGAACCATTATCATTACATCACTCGGCTTCCATACACACACACACATATATATATATATATATATATATATATATATATATATATCCAGGGATCGATTAATAAATTGTCGTCTAAATTATGCAAGAATGAAAATAATACTGACTGTATCTCATTTTAACAGATATATTTACCAAAATTACACCAAGATATCTTGAAATACTAAAGAGTAAATTTATACAATAAAATTGCCATTGGCTTCAACCATGGATTCAGAGTTTTCCAAGATTGGTTGTTAATCAAAGCTAGAAAACCCAGTCTTTCCTGCTATTTAACCTATAGCTGGGTGGGGACGATGAAAAGATTGATTCATTTCCCAAGAGAACCTATAACCCCTACTCTATACACTCGTCTATAGATCAAACTTCTGTGCCAAATAGGTTTTAAGGATTCCATCTTAAAAACCCTTTTCATCGTTGTACCTAATGAGATATTGTGTACCCAGTGGGCGTACAAATAAATACTTTAATAAAAATAGCATTTATTTTTAGGGTCGTTATTCATAAGCTTGAGCCCCAGGTAATGCGTCTCATTCAGAAGTGGTGTCCCCAAATGGGAAATGTCAAGAGAACTTGAACATTTTTTTTTACCCTTGGTTCATATGCACGTGGGTAGACACCGGAAACTCTACCTTCTGTTACATTCTATACAGTGGACGTACAAATATATATATATATATAAAACCGCATTTATTGATATTAGATTTTAACACAGTATTTGTACAAACGCGCACCATACACGTGCACACAGGCATGAATCCAGCTTTTTCTTTATACAGTGTAACCCGGATATAAGAGACCCGGATATAAGAGAAACCCGGATATAAGAGAGATTTTCTCTGGTCCCAAATTAGAGCCTGTGTTAATGTATATAAATTAGACCCAACCTGGATATAAGAGAAACCAGGATATAAGAGACTTCTTCCTAGGTCCCGACAACTCTCTTATATCCGGGTTACACTGTAATATTAAAACTCTGTAAAGGGGGAGAGAAAGAAATGGTGTGTATAATGATTTAAACTCCTTTACGCCTCTCTCTTCCACGTCTCTCTTTCCACCTTTCTCTCTTTCCACCTCTCTCTCTCTTTTCACCTGTTTCTCTTTCTACCTCTCTCTCTCTCTTTTCACCCGTTTCGCTTTCTACCTTTCTTTCTCTCTTTTCACCTGTTTCTCTTTCTACCTCTCTCTCTCTTTTCACCTGTTTCTCTTTCTACCTCTGAGATTTCGTGCATGCTTATTTATATTTCAGCTTTCTTTAAACAAACAATATTTTAAATATTTAAAAAATATTTTTTCCCATATTTAAAAAATATTTTCAAGTGAATATGACTTTAAAATATTTTTTGGCATATTGAAAATATATTTTTAAGTTAATGTGATTTAAAAAATATTTAAGTGAATAAGATTTAAAAATACGAGTTGTTTATACAGTAAGTATTTTTTTTCTTTCAACTTTCTTCAAACAGACAATATTTTAAAGTTTAAATCAATTTCAATGTTTTATATCCTGACTAGCAGCATGGCCCGGTGTTGCCCGTGCTTGATTCAAAAATCGCACGATTCATACAGCAATCGCTATCACTTGACTTAGAATATTTTTGCCCTTCCTTGCCTTTAAAGGAGTGCCCTTTGCCATGCTGATGTTGCTACATGCCTTACTTCTTGCCTATCTCACACTGCAAATTTTTTCTAAGCTCTATACTAAACATTAAATCTGTTACGAAAAGAGAACTAAACAAAATGAACACAAAACGATCAGCTTTAAAAAAGGACTCGTAACTGGAAAAACCGAATGAAAAATGAATGTTAACAACAAATACTTTTTCACACCCAACCCAGTTCTGCGGGATCAGAATCAACGTTGAGTTTAAGCAAGCGAATGAGCCAATTGGAGTAAAGTGCTATGCAGATTTAAATTTTTCCCACTTGTGACGAATGCAGCTATCGATGTTTTTGCATGCTAGCATGCTAGTTAACATTCGTGTCAGTCAGCTGTTGGCTCTCACGCTGGCCAATAGAATCTTCCTGCCTATTCGTGACAGCCAGCTATATGCTCTCACTCTGGCCAGTAGAAAATGGCCGCAAACTACATGAAAACTAGCGTAAAAGCATGAAAAAATCGATTATTTCTACTATCAATGGGAGTTGGGAAATGCAAAGTCGGTCTTGGCCTTTCAACTAACTTGGAGCATGTGCATGTAAATTTTGGAGCAAATCCGTCGAAAATTGCGGCCGTGCATTCGTTACACACACACACACACACACACACACACACACACACACACACACACACACACATCCTGCCTTTTATAGATAGAGATCATTCAGTGACCCAACGATACAAGGGTAGTAGTTTTTTATTAACTTACAGGTTTTCAAACGAAGACACAGACAAAAATAACTTTCAACTTTATATATTAGATTATTAATTTGATCGTTGCACACAGAACTTGTGAAAGTGACACTTTTGTGAATTTTTCACAAAGCAACTTGTGCTCCATCAATATGTGATATGGCCCATATAGGAGAGCGCTGTTTCACGTATCTCACACTCAAGTGTGTCAAACCCGAAGGAAGGTCTTATGACATCGTAGTACAATATGAACGAAGAGGTGGTGAAGAGGTCATGCATTTCAGTTGTGAAGAGATTAATCACTATGGTGAAAGCAAATGTTGACCATATTGATTGGAAATATATGTAAAACATTGTCAGTAAATATAACAATCAACCTGTAAACTTTCATTAGTGATTGATTGATTCATTTTCTATGGTTTATCAACTCTTTACAGGTTATTTAAAGCCAGAAAATATTTTTAGATTGTAACAATTTATTTAGATAACAAGGGTTTAATGTTACAAGTCTCACTAATTAGCCCATAGCTTGGGGGGAAAAGGTGGATTCATACATTTCCCAAAGGTATTTGCGCGTAAGTGAATATAACGAACCCAACGAAAATTGGAACTCGGTTCTCTGATTAACAATTCCGAATCATTATCCATTACACCACCCGCACATCCAAGCTTCCAGCACCTGGTATTCCAAAGTGGACATGTATCTAGATACTGACCAGATTCGACGTTGCTTAACTTCGGTGATCGTACGGGAACTGGTGTTTCAACGTGATGTGCCCGTTAACCGAATAATGGGTAAATATATAAGCCGTACTTGATAGATTATTCATTCGGTCGTTACATATCAGTTATCCAAGAGATTTACCTGGCGAAGTTTAATGATCTTCGGCGTACAGAAGTCTATTTTTATTTTCGTTTGTCTATCACTCAATATATTCGATAAATAAATCTGTCACATTTGACTGACTTGTCAACTTGCAAATTCGCCCACACTTCGCAGCTATTCTTAACTCACATAATCAAAGGAAGTGGAACAAGAATTATAATTACTAATCATGCAACTTCCAGTTACACGACTTACAGGTTATGTAGTCGTCCGCAAGCTGGTTTATTAACTTTTGAATTAATACACGGTATAGACATTTACAGAGAGGGTTTACTAGTTACTTCTTTTTTTGGTCACCAAATACAAGGCCCAAGCGCCACTCAAGATAGAGGGTTACTAAATTAGGTTGTTGTATGAACGTAGAAGGAATAGCTAAGCAGAGATGATGAGATGTAGTATAGGTAGCAGTAGAGACTTGAAGAAATTTTATTGGTCGGGAAAGCTTCCTCTTAGGAGTATATTCCACAAAGCAGGGGTTCTTAGGAAGCAGTTCAAATAGAACTTATTTCTTACCAGTGGAATGCAAAAGGAATGAGTATATACTTCACGGAAAATATGATTCTTCAAGAATGCCTTTTATTGTAGCTTTGAAGTAAACACAATTTAGTCCTTTAGCTGTAAATGTCTGAACTAGGGAATGTGGCTCATCAGAAGTTATCCAGGGAAATACCGATAGAGCGTCTAGAGTTTAAGGGTGTTCTATCCTGGGAGAAGGGTTTTAGGACGGAAGATAATTTATAACCTACACGGCCGCTTTTGAAAACTGTCATGTCTGGAAAGTGAGGATTGGGTAATTCTAGCCCAAATATGGCCGCAATGCTGCGTTTTTAGTCTGATCTGATTCTTGTCAAGATAGAGTATATTTGGTGGAATCAGTTTCTTTCTGACTCCAAGAATCATATTTAGATAAAGTTTAACTTAGGACCAGGTGTGTTAAAATGCGTTTTTCGTTTAACATTCCTATTACCTTATACCAGCGTTTCTCAACTAGGGTTTCCCGGAACCCTAAGGTTCTGCAAAAGGTCCTCAAGGGTTCCGCGAGAACAGGTGAGATAATCCAATGCACTTTTGACGTTTTATTTAATTTTATTTAATATATTGTTGCAGTTTCCAGTGTCTTACATGTGTGAGCAAGCCTTTTCTTATTAGTAGTATTTTTCTTGTTAGTATTAAGATCAAAGACAGAAATCGTCTCCTCTCAATGAAGAATGAAATTCGTGTGTGTTTATCTAAAGTTCGACCTCGAATTAAGTATTTCTGTAGCAAAAGACTAAATTAGAGAAGCATGTTTCACTTTATCAAATGGCCCTGAAAGTAACATTTTCTTAGCCCATTTATTGGTTCACAGGACATTTTGATATGACTTACCTTATGTTTTTCCACATTGCCAGTAAACTGATACAGTAATTATCTGTTTTCGTTCTGTTTACATTTATATTATAAGTATAGGATATTGGTTACTCATGGTTATTTTTTACGTTTGAGTTTAGAATTTTTTGTGTGAGAATGAAAACTTCTTGAAGTATTATAAATAAACGAACAGTATGAATTTTATTTAACATTACCGAAAAATTTGACAAAGAAGTATTAATTTTTCCTTAAACCAGTTATTCAAAAATATATACTGTGATATTTACCACGTGAAGTACAATGAAAATAAAATGAAAAAGACATGGTATATGATTTTGATTTTGCAGGATTTTCCTTGGGACATGTAATTTATCTTAAGGGTTACGCAAGTGTAAAATGTTGAGAAACGCTGCCTTATACTCCCGTAATATGTTTTTTGTTGTTTTATGACGATATTTTTTAGAACTTTAATAAAAACCATAACACATGAAATTCATTAGAGAAATGAACTTCACATTAGCATGTTGTAAAATTAAAAAAAGTTAGTGTTGTGGTTAATACAGCAAGAAGTAAATTTATAAATTCAGTTTCATATTTTATGGTTTTATTAAAGTTATAAAATACCTTTTTAAAACCATACAAATTACGGGTGGGAGTTATTTTTTTTCAAAATATCCAAAACAAAATCCAAAAAATAATGGCTCTTCACAACTTCAAATCCCTCGTTGCTCTAAGAAACTTTTAATCATTCTTCTTTGTTCCCTCTCTGTCAACCATTTACGCAAACCCATTATATAGGTTGCTCAATTGTATTATCACTATATCGGTGTATTCTGCATTAATTATTATTAGTAGCAGAAATAGTAGTGGTAATATTAGTATTAGTAGTATATTGTATCCTGCTAGTCTACAATATAATTAACAGAAAATTATATAAGACTTCAAAACAAAAAGTCAAGAAAAACACAAAAGTAATTTATGATTAGATGATTAATTTGTTTATTTAATGGCACATAATTTAAGATTAGATGATTAATTTGTTTATTTAATGGCACATCAACTCCTTATGGGTCATTTAATTCCGAAATTTAATTTTCTTGCAAGCTTTGAAGTAATAAAAATAAGATATACGTTATTCAAATTTATTAATTATACCTGCTGACAAATTTTGCTTCGCTCATGCGAAATTAATTTGCTGAATTACTGAGTACCGAGAAAGTACATGCGCACTGACGCTTTCATCAGTTTTGAAAAAAATATCTACCAATTTTTTTTCATCTGGTGCGACTGAGAACTATACAACTCAGTCATGTAACAAGGCACGTGTACCTAGTGGTTCTTTCTGCAATTTATCTTTGCTGTTAATTACCTGACTGCAAGGAAATTTATTTTGCACACAAAGTATAATCAGCACTCAAAACGAAAGAACCATTTAGCGTTTTAAGATAAAAATGGTAAAACATACATATACTATTACTATAAATATTCTTCTTAATTTACTGGGTCGACATGAATCGAACCTGTACTCTTTTTATTCTATCGGGAAAACCACATTTAACCTGCGAGTGCCTTATCAGTATTCCATGGGAATCCATCACGGCCAAGTACAGTCACCCTATTTAAGAATGAATAGGCAATTTTGCTGGTCCCGGTAAAATAGACATAAAAGTTATTTTGCCGGTAAATATAAATAGTGTTTTAGAACTAAGAATATATTAGAGATCGTCAGCGCAATGGTTGTGTGAGCTATGTAGACAGGACTTGAACAACATGGATTCTGTGGTCTCTGACTGTTGTCTTCAGTGGGTGCACCTGAAATGTATTGGCAAGAGAACCATGCCCAAGGCCAAGATTTTGGATTTGCAGAGACTATTAACTGCTTAAAATATTCAGAAACTTGTATATTTCTTTTCACTGGTCAACATGACTTTTGGTGCAAAAAAAAACACTATTTTTAGCTAATTTCATGGTGCTGATTTCAAAAATGAACTTAGTTTTTCATAATTAGCTACCATTTTTGCTGTACTGAAATTGCTCATTTTTTTAAAAAAGATCAATTTATGATCTTGGCTGATTGCAAAATTTACTTAATAAATGTTGTAAAAACACATCAGTTTTCAGGTAGGCCGTGCAATTTATGCCAGCTACCTGAAATAAACTAGTTTTATTAAAAACAAAAGTGTTTTTGTGCCAAAAATTTTAAAATAAAAGTACCGAATTTTTCCAATTTATCCCCAAAGTTCAAATTAAATGATAAATTTTATCAGTAATACACTTTAGTAAACTAAAGTAACATAAAAAAATGAAATCCTAAAATCTTCTGTTTGATAAGCATGTACTGATCTTGTACGCAGTCACATCATATCAATGAAATACATACACATTGGAGAGTGTTGCAATTCATATAGAAATATATTGCAAGCGAAAATGAATCTAAATTCGGAGAAATCAGACTTCATTGTGTGCATACAACTTATTTTCAAAAGGTTTAGGCTATCTTTTTTGTTGCGTGACGCTTACTATTTCAAGGTAAATGATCACAATATAAATAAGACTTTTTTCTCAGTTTACAAGAGAATAAATATTTCTGAACAAATAACTTTGGATATAAATTTACATAATTGAAGCAACATAATAGTGGACGGTGCATAATATGGAAGATCGTATGTGATATATTCTTGAATTAACATTGTATATCTATTTATTGAATGTTTGAGGAATAGAAAGATAAAACCAAAACTGAAGATTGATCAAATGTTTTTAAAAAAAAAATGTCTGATGAAGTTGGCATTCTTTTGAACCTGGCTTCTTTGGTAACGCTATGAAACGAAATCTACTGAGGTCTTCCAGTATTTCGTCGTTGTCGTATATTTCATTTATCATTTCGGAAACCTTATCAGTTCCAGATTATTTTAAAGCTGTCAGTATCTACAGTATCAACTTATTTGTTCCTTTTGATTTACTCCTCTTCATCTTTGTCAGTGCTAACCTAATTCCAGATTTTAACAGTACGAATCCTTTCGTGTTTTTATGTATTATAGTTTTATCCGCTTATTTTTTTCGTGGAAAACCTCTCCGATATATTTTATTTACGGAGACAATTGTCAAAAGTGTTTAAAGTGTTTTCAGTTATACTAAAAGTTCGAGTTATTTGCTTTAGTTCCTTCAAATTCAGGCAAACGTGATTTAACAAAATTTGCAGCGATAATAAAATAAAAATACAATGAAAAAAGAAATAATTTAAAAATTCATTAAAATTTATTTTCTACATAAGGTTTAGTTTTAAACACTTACTAAGATACTAAAATATAATCATTAATTATATATGTGAAATACTTTTAGATAGATCGCAGTTCTTGGCAATAATTCGAAACACCCCATCCCTTTGGCAAGTAGAAGTTTCTTTGATCCTTGGTTCATATTAGATACTTTAGTGTTTATTCTTGTGGAAACGAAATAGGTGGATCCCTTAGATTAATCCGACAGAAAGAGAATTATAGCGAAATATCTTTACATTAAATTGTCTGAAATAGTTACCCGATT